TTACATGGTTAAAGCCAGTAAACAGCGAAATGGTAAAGGTCACAAGGTTCCTGACATTGTTATCTGAATGTCAAAGTTAAGTTCTGCTTCTGAGCAGTGAATTCAAAGAACGAGGAGAAAACCCAGCTTCAGACAGCTGCTTTTGCTCTTATATTTCGTTACAAATGCTGAAGAAGCCAAAGGGGAGACTGCCACCTAAGAGTGGCCATTTGCAAAGGAGAGCAGAACTGGCTTGCTGCAGGTGGGAAGCAAGGACTATTCAAGTGGTCTCGACACTGTGTATGGGTGCACCTGATCTGCTGGCTCACAGACAGAATCAGCCATCTTAGCTTTCTAAATTGGCATCTCTTTCATTTCATTTACTGATCTATGACATATATGGATTTGATTTAGGGGGTAGCAGAGGTCGAAAAGCCAAGAAAAAGTTCCATTTTGCTCTTTGTTTCTTGTAATTTTTAAAAAGTTATAGAGTAACTGACAAGTATTGATATGACCCTATTAAAGATGTCAGCATCAAACAGAAAATAATGAGCAGAAAGATACCGAATGTATTAGTTTCAGAGGAAGGAGGCAGAACATGGCAGGCTATTTCAGTTATTCTTTCTTCCCAACAAGTTGACAGTATAACTGGACACAATATTTAAATTACCTTAATGTCTGTCTTAAGAATATCTTATAAATGTTATGAAAAGAAACTGCAAACTGCTGATTACATAAAAGCAAATGGGTGCTGTATTAAAGGGAAAATGAGGGGCACAGGCCCGAAATGTAATTGTGAGAGTTACGTGTTTCAAGAATTCTATCTCACTAATGTTTCAGTCTTGTACCACTGTCGTGACTCTATTATTTAGGTTATATTAGGTCAGAGACCTCTATAATGTATAAGCGTTTGCTCTTTAACCTCCCAAGACTTATGACGTAAAGAAAAGTCAACTTTTACATCTGAGGGTACAATTTCATATAATGAACAATCAGTAGGCACAGACCACTTATTCTTTTAGCTACCTATCCTAGGGGCTTGACTGTGGAGAGCTGGAAACACTTTTTTATTTTTAAAATAGGGGTGGGAGAATTTGGACACTGTAAATTGTCAAAACAAATGCAAGCCTTACATGACATTTTAATACGGGTTACCAACTACTAATTAGAAGCAAATTAAATTATCCATACAGAAAACATATTCCCAAACAACCCTATCCTTTGATGGAAATGTCACTGTGCCATGCTATTATGGAAGCTTAAACAAGGGATGTTTGTTGCAATGAAATTTACTGATAATTCCCTCCTAAGTAATCTTCCTCCATATTTTCAGGTTTCTTCTGTTGATGTGTTACATAGGAATCCTCAATCTTATAGCTCACGGAAAAAACAACTCTTCTCTTTGCAAATCATTGATAATGTAAAAATTCTTTAAACACTGATTTTGCTTGCAGCTGCAAGTTGTCTTTATGCCATCACAAGTAAGTAGCTTTCTTTAAAGATTTTTCCAAGAAATCAAACAGTACAAAGAACTGAAAAATAACTCCATAAGGCAAAAACACACTGAGTAGGCCTCGCTTAAAATAAAACTCATTTACTCAAACTAACCTTTTCAATCAAAAACTCCTGGCCCTTTAAGAAAACAGGGGGAAAAAAACAGTCTCTGAATACTCTGGAAAACTGAATAATTATATCTTTCTAGCTAGTATTTCATATATTCATGCTTATAAAATGAATCCTAAAAGTGTACTTTATGGCTGCTAAGTTAAATATATTACATTAAAGGTAAAGTTTATTTTCGTGATGACCAGAAACTTTGGGAAAAGGGCACCCATGATCAAAGGTCAAATGTGTATTTAAAGATGTGAGCCTAAAAGTTTGATGCTCTCAGAATCATAAATTAGAGCATATGCATACTTCAACTCTCTGACTACCCACAAATACACTGAAAGGGTGTTTTTAAAGCCAAATCACCTTGAGAAATCCATCACTCCTGAAATGGCACTTTTAATACATGATTGTGTTAATGGATTCTTATTTACCCATAGAATCCTTTTAAAAATAGAAATGTTCAATGACGATTAATCAAGTTTGGTCTGAAGGAAATCCAATATGCAAATACTTACAGTGTGCTCTTTTACAAATAGTCACCCTTGTCAGTTTGAAAAACTGAAAATCAACAGAAGAACAGTGTAAGTATACTTGACCTTATTGCCTAATGTCTGTCAAGATTGCCACAGCTGGTCGATTTCAAATTTGTGAAACTGACACTTAAAAATGTCCGGTGCATCCTCGGTGCAGGTCCCTCAAGTGCTGACTAAACTAGTCACAGCCTCAGATTCTCCTTCCATACAACTTGCGCAGCACTTACAGAGCCAGTTTAATCACACCATCAATCTACGACTACACATTCCTTAAAGTAATTCTGCTTCCTTCTCTTTTAACCTTACACTATGCAAATAACATCCTTATCAGTCCAATAAGGAAAACTTATTAACGTTCCTACTTGTTTATCCTTGACATACACTGAGAACTTGGATCACATATGAATTTGCACAAAGACCTCTCCAATGTTCCACACACTCTGTGAAAAGTCATCCTTGCACCACCATAGTGTAACGCTCTAAACAATATTCTTGAAAAACCCTTCAGTCAAAGTCTACGACTAACATCAGAGCATGAGTTAATAGGTTAAAAAGACAAAACAAAAACACAGGGGACTGCATACCTGATTCTTTTTAAATGTTTCTCTAGGAAGGGTTTGCATATGGCATACCAGGCTATCTCCTGTATATAAGAACAGTTATACAGGCCCCTAGTGGTTTAGCAAATAGCAGCAGATGAGGGGATTCCAATTCTTAGTTCTGGACTTTGAGATATTCTGACTATAAATGAATGTCAATCTTAAAAGGAAAATCAAATCATTGTATTTAATACTTTACGCAGTTTTGCTTTTATGATTATCCACTGAAATACATATATATTAAAACAGAGCACTTCATTTCATCACTTTAGCAACTACAACTGCACTAAGAATTTGTTACATAACCTCCACAATAAAATATTTAATTCACTCACCTCTTTGCATGTCATTACAAAAGTAATATATTACTCATACATTAAAATATGTTAGAGAGACACTTTTCCTCTTTGAATCTTATTTCTATTATACTAGTATTACTGAGGGCTATAAGAACAGATTATTTCTATGTAAAGTGCTCACTGTTTAAAATGAAATGTAGATAAACTGAATGCCACTTTTAAAATAGTAGAAATCTAAAATAAATGTGCTTTCCAACAAATAAAACCAGTTTTATAAACAAAACCAGTAATAAAACTTACATCAGAGTGCACCTACTTTAAAAAAAGCTACAATTAATAACACTACTTAATCCTCATCCCCAAGCTGCCTTTCCTTTAAAAAAGAAAATTCTAGGCAGGCATTTTTACAGCTTTTAGCAATTTTTAACTGGACACAGTCTGACAGCTGAATTCATAGAACTGACCAGCTTGTCAATTTCACACTTTGAAAGTACAATAATAGCTGATAACATGAGGGTGAATATAAGAAATCTGTCACAGAATTGCTAGCTCCATTGAAAAGCAAAGTATAGTATATAATTATGGGAGGTGGGAGGTAGGAAAATTTTCCTTCTATTGTCCATTTCGGAGATCTGTTTCAAGAATTTGGACATTGAGCATTGAAACTGTATTCTCTCTTTGCTAAGCTAATAACATAACATCCATCTGTGGCATATAACGAAATGTTTTCTAAATACGTATAATATCTATTAAGCTTTGTCCTGGATATCATCATATTAACAACATGAGAATCTTTCCGTTGGTATCACTTAAATATTCCTTTAATTCAGAATATTTCAAGTCTTGGCGGTAGATCACCCTGGTTTTACTCAAGTTGAGTGGTGAGTATGTACACTTTGAAACATAGATAGAATGGCCAAAATGGTCAGAAGTATCAGTGGCTGGACTAACAGGATGGGTGCAAAGAACACACCAAAAGGAAAGGTCCACGTTTGAAGCTCTGGAAGCCCAGCAGCGAATCTATCTCAAGTCACAAGCAGTCACAAGTCTCTGACAGGCTCAAAATGTATGCGCTCTGCTCTAAGTCACTGGTACTATGACTGTGGGCATTTAAAAAAGGGTGGAGGGGGGAGAAAAGTTTAAGAGAAAATACAGGAGTGCTCCCTCAGGAATCTTCCTGGAGGTTTAAGGCATCCTACAAAGTGTAGGCTGGTCTAGGGATCACTCTAAGAATGTTAGAAAACAGAGGAGACATCAGACAAGTCCTGTACTGAGAAGCAAGCTGGAAACAATACAAATGAATTGTGATCATCCAGGTTTTGGTGAATGGAACAATACTGGAGCACCCAATTAATGAAAGCCAAGCTCACAGTGTCCAAGATTTTTTTTTTTAATAAGAAAAGTGACTTACTTTGTTAATGCTTCTAACAGAAAATCAACCTCACACATAAACGATTCAAGTTTTCTACATGCCAATGTGAAAGCTACAATAAATAGGAAAGCAAAGAACGTTTGGTTTGTTCTTGGTTTTCTTTTCAAATTGTTTCCTACAACTTGGACTTTGCATTATAAATTTGGCGTTGCCTTCCCCATGGAATGAGTGTGTAAGAAGGGCAGATCGCCACAGCAAAACTACGAGCTTTGATTCTGCCAAGGAAAGGTCTCCAAAACAGTCCCCCTCCTCTTTGGCAGCCGCGTAGACTTTCATTCCTGCTATTTCTCCTTTTCCCCAGTAGTTCAGAGGAAAGAAAGAAAAAGAAATCGCCCCCTCTCCGAACCAGTCCTCCTTAAAACAGTACTCACTGCCTCTTAAAAAGAAATTTTAAAAAATTGCAGTGGCAGAATCTCTGGGTAGGGTCTTATTGCCCCGCCGCTCCACCATTTCCCCAACACTACGCCCACCCCAGAAGCAGAAAGCGGGGATGGCACACACACCCAGACTCCAACACCCTCATTCTCTAGAACTGCCGCTCTCCCAGGTCTGAGGTTTTAAGCGAGAAACGAACCGTGCAGGGGAGGACCTCTGCCCAAGGAGGTTCAGAAGAGCAAACTGTTCGCTCCAGTGCCGGGGCGCCGGGCTCGCAGACGCGGGAGAGTGGAGCTCCGGCCCCCGGAGCGCGGGCTGCGGGAGTCGGGCTCTGGCGGGCGCAGACCCGAGAGGACTCAGGGGGGCGGACCGGGTCAGCTCGGAGGACTCACCTGGTCATGTTGACTCCGGGCAGCCGCCGCCGCCGCCTCTCGCGCCGCCACCAGCACTTTAGTCCAGCGCCTTCGCCCCACGCCACGGCCGCGCAGCCCGCGCCTGCCCCAGCCGCCGGAGTCCGGGCGGCCGATTTAATCCCGCGCAGCTGCGGCCCCCGCCGCGGGAGCACCCCCAGTGGCTGCCGCTGCCGCCGCCGCCGCCGCCTCCGCCCGGTCCTCGCGCGGCCAGCCCAGTCCAGAGCGAGGAAGTGGAGGAGAGTCTGCGAGTGAGTCCAAAAACCCGAAATCCAGCATCCAGAGGAGCGCGTCCCCCCGCCCTCCCTCCACCCCTACCCCCTTCTCCTCCTCCGCCGCCGCCTCCTCCTCCTCTTCCCGGGCCGTCCTCCTGGCCCTTCTGAGCCCGCGGCTTCCGCGACGGTTTCTCCTCCTCCCGCTCCTCCTGCTCGCCCTGCGCTCGCTCCGCCGGCCGCCGCCGCCGCTGCTGTGTGTCTCCTCCTCCTCCCGCTCCTCGACGCTCCGCCGCTCGCGGCTGGGGGGTCCGGGGCCGCGGCGCCTCTCCTCCCTCCGCCTTTCCCGTTTCCTCCTTCCCGGCGCTGCTGTTTTTAAGGAGGATTCTTTGGCCACAAATAGCAACTCGGCTGCCCCCCTCAACGCCTCCCTCTCCTTCTTTTCTTCCCCCCCAAAAAGTGAAGCGCACTCGAGAGGTAACCAGAAACTGAGGCCGGCGGGGGAGCGGGGCGAGAGGGGAGGCGGGGGAGAGGCGGCGAGGCGACGCCTGCAGACCGGCCCGCGCGGAGTCGAGGGCCGGGAGAGGCGCCGGCCGGCCCAGCCCAGTCCTCGGACCTGGCGTGAACCTGGCGGCTACGCTTGAAGGCGAGGTGGTTTGGTGGGGAAATTAAATGAAAAAAAATCTCAGGAAAGTGATTGGAAAAGCTCCTCTCTTTGTTTCCTTGTCTGGGTGATTTCGAAAATCCTCGTAACGTGCTGGGGATCCCACGGAATCGCGGTGCCCCAGCGCTGAGGGGTTGTGCGTGCGCGTTGCCAGCGCGCGAGTGTGAGTATGGGTGCGCCCGGGCGAGGGGAGGGCCAGGCCCGCTGCGCCCACTGGCGAATCCCTGAATCTGGACCACTGGCCCACTGAAAGGGCCAGGGAGCTGGACCGCGAAGGAAGGAGGCAGGAGAGCTGGGAGAAGGAGGCGCGCAACACACACACAAACACACACACACATACTTGCAGAGGAGGGGGCTGGGTGACGTCACTCCCCAGCATCCATCCACCAGGCCATAAAAGACCCCCTCTAACAAATTCACTCATCTCCTGAGCTGCACACCCAGTGCTTCCTGCTCGGGGTCCTGGCACAAGGGAGGAAAGATGCTGGTCGCATCCCATTCAAAGCAGCGATAATAATATAAGGCGCGGGCGGTGATGAGACGGTTTGTGTCTACAACCCCAGTTCACCTTTGTAGCTTCCATTCAGGGAGGTTTGGTGGATCCACTTTGGAATCGGAGAGGAAGAAAGGGAAGTATCGAATCAGTCTTAATGGAATAACCATGCTTCCATGCCACTTGCTTTTATGATTATTGATAACGCAGTACTCCCCAGCTTGTCTGAAGGACACCATGTAGCCCTCTGCCTAGACATCCTCAGTTGTGGGGCTACACGGGCTTCATCAACAGAACACACTGTGTGGACTGTTAGCTGAAGAGGCACCTTTTTACCTTCTTCACTCCTCAAGGATCTCCAGCAAGTGCAAAAAGTCAGCAGCTGGAAGCCACCATTGGCAATTGGCCTACCAAAATTTTAATAGAAACTTGGTCAGAAAGGTTAAAGGAAAGTCAAGGTTTCCAGTCACCTCCCTTGCTCACTGTGTGCTCAAGGCAGCATATACACATAATACTTAATCCTGCGGGCTCTAGGCAGTCTTTGAAAGACCAAAGGTAAGCCAGCTCCTTAGACTGAATCAGCCTAATGATTCAGCTGTTGTCTCAAGCTGCCCATTTGTTCCCACTCTTTGTATGTAGTGCACCTGAAAGCCACTGAAGGATTGGTCAGTAATCCTCTGCCCACTCTGTGCTCCAGAAAGAAAGCACGCATTTTTGAAAGGCTTCTTGCTAAATGAAGTTTCGTTTTCCAGCAATTTGCGGGGCGAGGGGGAGTACCATCCTAGCGTGACTATTCTTGGTTCTTTTTTTAAATGGTTAGCCTTATAGTCAGAATGAAGAAGACAGCTATTCCTGAGCAAGCCTCCAGAACTTTCTGATAAACCAGGGAACTGAAAGGCTGAGCAGGTTTGCTGAACACCTGCCGCTTATGCCCTAAGGATGAATTCAGAAAGTGGAGCCTCTGCACAGGTGATTCTCATTGAAGGTATAAATTCAAACTTGGCTTTCTTATTGAAAACCAGTGAGGCCCACTTTCCTCTTGCAAAGTTGGGTGTTAGAGGAACAAACAAAGTTTTTTCAGAACCCTGGTATTTCCTCTGCTATTGTCTTTGAAGGAGAGACACATATCCAGTTATCTCATTTAAGAAGATCTGACTAGTTCTGACCTTATTTGAGATCCTGACTGGGAAGTCTGATTGCTGTCTAAGAGCACCATCAAAGAAGAAATAGTATCAATATATTCCACTCATAGCAAGTTAGATAGGCTAGAGAACTCAGTGATGCTGGTTACCAAGGTGAGCAACAAGCAAAAAGAAAAGGGATGCAGAAATCAGGGGAGACAGGGCAGTGTAAGTAAAAGATGCAAGCCCAAGCACCCAACCTCCCTGACACCACGAGGTCCTCGATGTGCCTGTCCCACTACAACCAAACATCTTGGAGAAAAAAGTAACAATGAAAGGAAGGGACTAGAGAGTGAGCTATTATTGTATTGGGTTGGTCAAAAAGTTCGTTTGGGTTTCCCCTGTAACATCTTACAGAAAAACCCAAACGATCTTTTTGGCCAACCCAATACAAAAGAGTGTTGTTCAGGGTAATAGAGCATGCACAAGTAGAAAACCCAAGCTTCCTCTGTACATCTAAGTCATGTTGGGAATAAGACTGCAGCCCCATATACACATATTAACATATTCAGATCAGATTTGTAACAAAATAGCTCCCTGTGACATCTACTACAGTATACAAGAGAGTTTACCATTTGGAGCTTTGAGGTCAAAAAGTATCAGAGGGGGACTAATCATCTGCCAAAATCACCTAATTTTACAAATAAGGAAACTGAGTCCCAGAGAGTTTAAGGTGACCCAACTATTGGTTGGCAGAACAAAACCCCAGATGTCATGGTCCAGTGTCCCCGCCCCCTCAGCTACTCCTAATTGCCTCCCAGTTCTGGATCCAAGAAGCCCGTTTTTCAGCTTATCAGTGAGCAATAAATACAGAATATTTTAAAACTATAAATACTTCCATGAAGGGAAATGAAGGAATGGTACTAGACATTTCCTTAGTTTCTTTCTAGCTCTCACATTCTTTGATGAACAGCACACAGAAGCTTTGCTATAGCACAACCCCCTCTAGTGCATAATTCAGCATACGATGAGTATGAGTCTATCTTGGACCCCATCCAAGGAAGTTAATTCCTAGAAGTACTGGGAAGATTTTATTCTTATCCATCATGAAGCATCCTAAAAAGGCTGAAAATAATGTTTACGGACAATAACAGTAATCACTTGTATTGTATACTAAACATCATGCTATCCCACTGTTTTTCAAAAGGCACATCATGACCTTTTCTGGGTCATGAATCTAGTGTGGCATGAAACATTTTTTAAATGAAAGTAGGAAAGTAAGAAGAGTGCATTATCTCTATTAAATATTGTTTAGTAAAACTTTTGTTCCCATGATGTGGCTAGTGATTAAAAGAAAAAGTTTCAAAACCTGTTACTTAAGAATCATTAGCCCCATTGTATAACTGAGGAAACAGAAGCCAAGGGGATAAGTAATTTGGCCAATCTGACACAGCTAGTGAGTGGCCAAGCTAGAATGTAGAAACCACTGTTCTACTTCAAAATTTTGTGTTTTTACTTCTATTCTGATTATAAATTATTATCCAAGGAACTGCATTAGTTGTTGCTGGTCACATTTCCTTTGTGAAGACTACAGTGGTCTATAGTAAATCCAGTTAGGATGGAGAAGTATGACATAGGTTCAAATGGCATGTTTTGAAGATACTAAACCCTTTCCTAAGACACTGAAATGAATATTTGAGACTTCTTCCTATAGGTGCTAGTTATGCCTAATATATTTCATTAATTTGCTGCTAAATGCACACATGTAATAACAGTGGTTTTAATCCTCAACTTAAATATTAATCTCTACAAGTGTTAAAATGTTTGTGAGAGCTTTCCAAATTTAATTCACATGGCATTTCTCAGTAGCTTATTTATTGATCAAACACAGACCTGGCACATGAGAAAGATAACATAGCCACCAGGGAAATCCATGAATACTGGAGTGGGTAGCCTATCCCTTCTCCAGCAGACCTTCCTGACCCAGGAATCAAACCAGGGTCTCCTGCATTGCAGGCGGATTCTTTACCAACTGAGCTACCAAGGAAGTCCCATATACAAAACACAGTCCCTAAACTAAACAATATTTCTATTCATTTCAGAACACAAGATATACACATTTAAAGTAATCAGACGACACTATAATTCTACCTAAACTGTGAAGAAGAAAGGAAAAAAACTCGGATTCCATGCTAATATTTTTTACTTACATGGAGAATCTATAGACCATTAACACTGCAGGTTTAGGTGCTGTTATTCCCATTCCTCAGATTTGAAAGCTCAAACTGAGAAGTAGAAGCTGATTAAAATGAGCCTCTATTCCTGATCTTTCTGATTTGACTACCTAACGTCTAAAGTCTCTTTACAAACAGGTGGGCTTCCAGTAGACAAAGAGGTGGTTAGAGATGTTGAGACTTTCTATGCAAACATTCCAGCTTTTCTCCATATGAAGGAAATGTACTCTCTTTTTCTCCAAGGCAGCATTTCTTGTTGCTGTCAGGCAGCAATGTTCTCTTTAACAAAATCCACATCTTTCTTTAAAGACAGGCCTAGAAAAGCCAGGCCCTCTCGCCTGACTGTTCAGTCTGCATTTCACCCTCACCTGCTCTGTGTAGAGGACGTTATGGTACGATGCTATTTTCCATTGGCTCTGCTACTGGAGATTACAGCATGCGACTGTGACAAATGGATATTCCCATTAAATTCTTTAGTAGAGTGGGGCATTCCATTAACCATTGGCACTATCCCAACCCAAGTGAAACATT